CCCTGTGCCTGGGATGCTAAAGGCGGCAAGCGGGTTTGGGGGCCGAGGGTGCAAGCAGGGGGCCCTGAGCCTGTGGGAAGGGGTGCTGGTGAGCCCTGCCTGCTCTTGAGACTTCCCAGGGCACTCACCAGAGCCCCGAGTCTCGCCTGTCCCCATGTCCGACCCTGCAACCGCCTTATCTCGCTGCTGCCGAACTGTGTGACAGCCAGGGAAACTGAGGCACGGGACCGGAGGTGCCAGGAGCTGCGTGTCCCTGCCTCTGCTCCGGCCCCCCAGGCTCTGCCTGTCCCCAGCCCTCCTGACGCCCCTGCCCGCTGCCCTGCCCCTAGGTACCACCCCAGCCGCCAAGATGTCCAGCAAACGTGCCAAAGCCAAGACCACCAAGAAGCGTCCCCAGCGCGCCACCTCCAATGTCTTCGCCATGTTCGACCAGTCGCAGATCCAGGAGTTCAAGGAAGCCTTCAACATGATCGACCAGAACCGCGACGGCTTCATTGACAAGGAGGGTCTGCACGACATGCTGGCTCTCGGTGAGGAGACCCTTCCCTCGTGCCTCCGCGTGTCCCTCAGCCCCTCTGCCCGCAACGCCTCCTCGGCAAGTGGGGAGAGCTGCTGGGCGACCTGGTGCCTGACATCCAGCGTGGAAGACCGGCTTTGGTGGGATGCCATTGAGGCACAGCCCTCGTGCTTTGGGCCAGCCCCATGCTGGCTGCAAAATCTGGGGGGAGATTTCTCTGCTGGCACCAGCTGACTGTGGAAGGTGCGTTTGCAGAGGCACCCCCGGGGCAGCAGCTTGGTGTGTTGCTCTTACAGCCACGCTCACTAGAAGGGAAAAGACCCTTGGGGGTGGAGAAGCTCTGCTTCAGGAGCAACCACCAGCAGCAGCCATTGAGTATTTGAGTAGTCTCACCCCAGAATACCACCTGGGGTCATCTCCTGGGGGACAGAGCCCTGCTGTTGCTCTCAGCCTGGGTGACAGAAGAGGCCGGTCCCTGTGCCAGCACGGTGCCTCGGCCAGTTGCGACTTGCCGGTCCGGCCGCGCTCCCCACCCAGAGCCCGTTCTCCTTCGCTCCCACCTCCCGCTCCCTGCGGTACCTCCACGGCGCTTTGGGAGGTCTGTCAATGATTGACCCGGCAGCCAAACCTGTTCTGGAGGTCCTGCCCGGCCGTAGGAGAGACCTCCCTCCTCCCCATGAGCCGTAGCTCTGGGAGCAGAGAGGGGCCGGGCGCTGGGGGCACGCGGACCTCAGCAGAGGAGGTGAAGCCATCCCTGGTGCATCCTTGGTAGGAGCAGTGCCAGGGACGCATCCTTGGAAGGAGCAGTGCCAGGGACGCAGCAGCGCGAGGCTCGTGCGGGGACGTTGCTGCCCCTCTCCTCGGGCGGTGCTGGGTGTCAGCTGCCAGGGGAATGGGGAAAAGCCGTGGGTTTAGATCCCGGTAACCCCCAGGTGAATTCCCGCATCTCCCTCGAGGCTGAGCCTGGCAGAGCTTGGATGCAGGTGGCCTCCGGCACGGGTTAAAGCAGGGGGAGAGATGCTGAGGGGGGAGCACTGGGCACTGCGGAAACCCCCTTCCCTTGTTCATGGGGTGGCCTTGGGGATGGGTGCTGCGGGGGGAACAGAACGGTCCCCTCCACCCCCCCCCCTGCCTGTGTCTGGCAGGGAAGAACCCGACCGACGAGTACCTGGAGGGCATGATGAGCGAGGCGCCGGGGCCCATCAACTTCACCATGTTCCTCACCATGTTCGGGGAGAAGCTGAACGGCACCGACCCGGAGGACGTCATCCGCAACGCCTTCGCCTGCTTCGACGAGGATGCATCAGGGACGGACGCTGCCTGCACAGCCCCGTGGG